GCTCTGGCAAGCTAAGGTTTGCACCAGGTTTTGGACATCCCCCTGAATGTGCCCAGCACGGAGTGCTTGGATGGAGACTCCTCTCAGCAGCGGGTGGTGGCCCTSGTGGAGTATTTTGGGTGACGATGGGGCTTATATCAATGCATTGCATCAGAGATGTTGCCAGAACAGTGATTGCAATAGCAAGAGACAGAAATTTGGTGCTGCATGCCTCGGGGAGCTCCACTCCCCACCCAATCACACAGCGTCTACCCCCACCCCAGCTCAGTCCACATTCATGTGCATGGATGCCTCTGCCTGCAAACAATCCCCTTAATGCTCACAGCCCGTCTGCTCCAACTCCCTTCTTCCAAGGAGGGAGGTTAATCCTGTGGGGGGGTGCAGAGGGAAGGTAGAGGCAGTCAGTGTCGTGGGGCCAGGTCCCTGTCCCATGCAGCGGGACAGGCTGATTCCCGCGAGCGGGGCCGGGTCGCTCCAGCGTCATCTCCCATTTCCCGCGGGGAGCCGGCAGGCGGTTCTGGCTGTGCAGGATCATTACCCRTGCCGTAACACTAAGGCGGGCGCCGAGCCTCAGCAGGCAGGTTTCCAGTGACTGCGCTGCACTCCGTGGCACGCACGGATCTGCGCGCTCCAGCGGAGCTGCCGGATGGGCATCGCGCAGAGCGCGGATCTCAGGACACTTTGGGCTAGGAAAAGGATGTGTTTTTCTTTCTTTCTCTTTTTTTTTTCCTCTTTCAAATTAAAAAAATCTCCTGTGCACCCATCTTGGCAGCCAAGGGAGGCATTTTGCAGCCGCCATAACAGATTCAGAGCCAGGGACCAGAAGATAAAATAATTTGCTAATTGGAAGTGGCACCAAACATTTTGCCTCTTGCCCCTTCTATGATCTTGGTGGCAAGTGTCTGGCAGCTYGCCAGGAAAAGGAGCAAAGGGACAGCTGAGACTGGAGAGGTGGCCGGGGTGCAACTCCAGGAGACCCACCCTATTGTTTTCCCAGCTCTCTGTCGCCTTTAATTACTATGAGAGATGCCCATCAAAGGCAGAGCTGGGTGCAAGGCTGAAAAGGAGTGACAGGGCTTGTGCAGAGGAATTTCACACAACAGTCCAGGCATTTTCTAGCTCACTGAATCGTTTTTGCCTTTTTTTCAGATGGCTTTGCACTTGGCAGACCTCAACAGCCTGGCGCATGGGGAGAGTGCGGCTCTCTCCACGGCCAGAAGAAGCCAAAAGTCTTCATTCACTCATTCATTCACTCATTCATTCATTCCACAACATACATTTATTTATTTACTGGAGCCGGGGCTCCACAGTAAAGTGCTCTATGACATGTGCTTAAATGAGATGAAGCCAAGTAGGAGCAGCCACCTGGCACCAGCCGTTGAGGTCACAACACCCATTGCACAGTCACCAAGTCCCCAGTGCAGAGGTGGCTTCTCCGGGACAGTGTGCAGGCCCTGAGTGTCTACAGAGGTCTTTGGAGCAGGGGTTTCCTTCTTCTGACTGGGTGAACAGCTCTTCACCCAGCACTGCCCTGGCCACGGTGTCCCAATGGAGGTGACTGTCTAAGGTGTCTATCACCCTGGTCCTGCTTCTCAGCCTGTGAAGATTGTCTCAAACCTCACTGTTTTAAGCATTTATTCAGATCCCACTACTGAGCCGTTATTGTTCTGCCCAAAGTCCAGGATCTACCCAGTAAAACTGGCTGTACCCGATTCTCAGAGGCTTTTTGGTGTCTCAGCTCAAAGGTGGAGCACCATGATTCATCTACGTGCTCACACTGCTTGCAGTTCCCTGAGTGTTTGATGCAATGCTGACCAGCTTGGGGAAAGGTGAGTAACAGCGGAAGACTAAAGATGAGCAGGAAATCATGGGAMCATTGATAGGATTAGGAGATATTTCACGAAATTGGCTGATGGGGCAGGCTCTGAATCCCTCTTCTTGACCTGCTGTGAGGCACATCACAACCTCCCAGGTCCACACAGTTCTCCATGATCAGCAGGAGCAGGGTCCTTGAGATGCTGGTGCACCTCACCACGGCGTGAAGCAGGAGCACAGATGAGCACAGCAGGACCTGCAGCTCTCACATACTTACCAGTCTCCTCTTCAGGCCCAGCAAAGACACTAATGAGGTCTGTGACTCCGTGACATTTCTGGTGCAGCAAATGGGCAGAGGTAGCCTTCCCATCTGAGAAGAAAATCATCTAAAAACTTTGCAGTCCTTGCAGAAGTCTCACCCAGAACGTGGCCCAACCTGGCATTTGTATAGTTTGCAACAGAATCATATTGAGTTAATCAAAATTCAGTCCATCAGCTGCTCTAACTCCCACGCCTTTCTGCCCAGTATTCCCTCAGACATACTGCTCTCAGATGGATAAATACTTGTCTTAAGTTGCCATCTAGGGGAGCAGAAAAAGTCAGTTGCTCTGAGGTGGGTTATGAAACAGAATGCACTGGAAGCCTTGAGGTGCTTCCCACTGATTGCTTAAAGGGAAACGGGTAGCACATAAACTGTTACAAATAATGGAAATTAAGTCACTTAAAATGCCTGAAACACAACACAGCAGAATAATTACAAACATGAGAAGTCTTTGTTTTAAAAGCCTGAGAAAGCATAGGAAAATGCAGACTTTCTGAACCTTGCAGAGCTTGTTCGGCATTGAGGATGCTCATGCACCCCAAGCAGGATTTTGCATCAGGAAAAGCCTGGGCTTGGGATCCCAGCATGGGAAATACTTGGATGCAGGAATACCAAGCCCTCTGAGCAGCTTCTTGCTGCAGGTCGCTGAGCTCCCTCCTTCCCCGGGTTTTTAAGGCTGCTGCTGCCGGTGCTTCCCGCGCCGGCAGCCTCCGGGGAGCAGAGCCCTGCTGAGCTCCGGCAGCGCCGGAGCCCGGAGCGGAGCAGAGAGCAGCCACAGCAGCGCGCGCTCTCCCCGGCATTATTTACATGGAGAACTTTGCCTGGAATCTCCTGCTTGCTGTGTGCTCAGATCCTCCATAATCAGACAAGGTGTGTTAACACAGGTCTTTATACCGAGTCTTTTTGTTTTGTTTTGTTAAAAGCGGGAGAGAAAAAAAAAAAAAGAAAGAGATTAAAGCAGTGCGAGCTCTCCAATGAGACTAAATCCAGGTTAAATCCAGACAGGCATAGGTGATGCATATGGATAGAAACAAATTCTGCACACCTCAGAAGAAGAGAGGGAAAAAAATGCAAGGAAAAAGGATGGAGACACAAAAATTATGGAAACCTGGGTGAGGGTGAGCAAGCAACCCCACGGAGAGGGAAGCACAGATGCTCAGCSTGGGCATCTGGATGCTCTGCACCACTCTCTGCAGGCTCCTTCAGGGACGTGTGGTCCTTCCGTCAGCCCCAGCTCCCACAGCAGACTGGGGAGGTGCAATTCCTCAGTGGAAAACGCTCCAAGTTGCTCAGACAAAAGCTTCCCCCTATCTGCATTTATGAAGTGCTTATCACGGTAGTGTCTCACTGCTCCGAGCCCTTTCCTAGAGAAGGGCAGAGTATTTCTATTGTTGTTCTACAAATAGCTTCCCCTGCCAGTTCCTTTCCTTCCAGGCTACTGAGTGGAGCTTGGCTTGGCTCCCTCTGGACTAATTTGATGAGAGATAATTATCTTGTTAATATCATCTTATTTTCATAAGTCCCAGCCTCTCTTTTATTAATTCTGTCAGTTCCTGCTTGTGTTGCTCTTAGGTCCGTGTCTTTTCAAAACAGTATAACAGGCACTTATGGGAGAAAGTCATAAAAAGAACAACTTAACTTGGAGAATGTAAATATTGACATTTTTCACAATAGAGATCTTTTTTAATCCAGTCGTCCTCACAAAACCCTCTGGCAGGCCTCCATGGGAACTGGTTGGACACCGTCCCTGCTCATAGGCAGGATGCAGCCACAGCAGAAGATGCGCTCTGCAGGCTTGGAATACCCACATGGAGGTGGGGAAGGATTGTGGACACGGATGAGTGTAAATGGAGAGGCTGAGGTTCAGCCATGCAGGCAGCTATGACCCTAAGGATATAGTTTATGTGTGTGCTGTAGCTGATCTCAAGACGGCAGCGGGGAGGGAGAAAGCATGTTCAGTGAGACAGTACGGTCAGCAGAGCCCTCTGCCCCGGGGTGCCCACAAAATGCTTCATCACAGTCTTTTGGACTTCATTATCCTTTGCAAGAACATTTGTGGTTATTCTTGGCATTATTAGCAGTACAGTTTTATTATTATCTCATGTAATCGCACGACATGACTCATTATTAAGCCATAACCAATAAAGGCAGTGGAGGCCCCAGAGCCCATCCACTGTCCTTACCCTGCACTCACCAGGATCCCACACTTCCCTTTTGGCAGACCCTGTTATTTTCAAGACACCTACTTGTGTCCACCACAGATCAGAGGACATTTTGTGGTGTAACCAAACACCTGGGCATGCTCTGAGAGCAGCCCAGAGGAAAATCTGCTTCCTAGATCCTCTGCTGCCCTGGATGGTACCAAGATGTTCGGCTCTGTCAGGACTGAGGAGCTTTTGGGATTAAATCCATCTCCCAGTGCTCCTTTAGGTTCCCAAACCATTTTTTTTTAGATCCAGACCTTCATCCCTATAAAACAAAGCACTTGTGCAAACACATAACACCAGTGATTGCTTTAAATTTAAGCATTTTTCTCTGAAACAGGACATAAATACAAACCACTTCTTTTTGACTTGACTTTTCTTCAATAACATAGATATCAAACTCGTTCAATGGAGAGGGAGAGAGAAAAAGAGTGGGTCGGGTAGACTTCCTCTCTGCTAGAAAGTGAATTACATTAAGCCTGCTCATGACTGCTTGCAGGAAGGAGCTTCTTTATTCTAGTTTGTACAAGTACTCACACTGTGCTTGCCAAAGCATCCAAAAGCTTTCCAGTATTGCATTAAACAATGTGACTAATATCTGTGCTGTGTTCATAAGCTGTGGATTTCAAGTCCAGAGCTTGGTCTCATTTATTCACAGGACCAAACTCACTCAGCGACAAAGCAAGGAGGTTTGTTTTCAGTAGCAGCAGAAGCATTATAAGCTTTTAATCATGCAGGCAAGAAGAATCTCATTCATTAGATGGTATGTCACACACCAGCATAGCGTCCTTTAGCTTAAACAGCCCTTTCCTTCTCCACATGGTCTGATGTCATTCTGCAGGCTTCACTGTGAAGAGGGATGCTGCCTAATAAGCCCTTGGAAGTAATAGACTCATAACAGCAGTTCAGCCCTCCAAGGCATATTGTGAGGAGACTCAAATGGCTGAAGTATTCAGATAAATATCTCCGAGTCAACAACTTGACCATTTTCTTGGTGAGAGAGGTAAAGAGCAGAAAGATAAAATCAAAAGCTGGGTGCAGCAAAATACCAAGAGGAGGAAAAACAGGACAAGAAAAGAAAAAGAGGAGAGTCTGACTCCCTTGCACTCCCTTGTGGATGCAGCCGTGGAGGGAATTGCAGCTTGGCCTCTGCTGCTCCTTGCTCTCCAGGCAGTAGGTGCTGCTTGTGCAAGGGTTTGTTCTGTTCCCTCGCTGACTGCTGCCCTCTTGGGATGCCAGGGCTGGTGCTCAGCTCCAGGAGTTCAAAAGTGAGGGTCCTGCTCAAGGAGAAACAGGTATTTGGCTTTGCCACTGATTAGGCCTGTAAAGGACCTGGCAGAAAGCATACATCTTAGAGCATAATATATACAGTGTGCATGTTCCATATATTAATGCAGATAAAATAGGCTATGTGATGTGAGGAAAGCAGCAAGCATCCAGACTTCTGGCTGAACTTCTGCAATTTACTGAAGCTGTGCAGCCTGAATACTTTGATCACATGTCCCAGGAGATATCATTTCTGTGAAGAAGGCATGATATCTCTCAGACATTGCCACTGATAGACATGACGTGGCAAGCTTATCTGTCAATCTTTGTGTCAGGAGTTCCAGCTTCTCAGACCRAAGGAGACCTGGCAGCTGCAGGGCCTCCTGCCCAGGAAGCAGATTTGCTTGTGAATCGTTTTGCATTGCAGGTGATGCACACTCCTACACTGAGCTATGGACAAACTCGCCATTGCCATAAAATAACCCGGAGTCCAAGAGCTCAAAGGGGTTAGGATGGTCCTGACCAGCCAAGCAGGTTACCCTGAGTCCTTGATAACAGGCTCAGCACCCACTGATGCTTCATCAGCTTGGGAGTCCTCTTGCTGAACGATAAGCTCTGTGGCAGGGATGCAGCACAGAGCTAACATGGTTTTGGCTGCTGGCCTTTGAGGCAGTAAACAGCCTTAATATGAAGCAAAATCCACACAGAAACAGCAGTGAGGTTACCAAATCAACAGATCAAAAAACAAAATAGACTGTTTGTACATGAATTACAGATGGTGTTTACTGAGCACCTGCCCCGTATTTTGCTTTCTCATTTTTCAGTGTGGTTTGCTACTTTTTTTTAATGCCCACTATCCTAGTTCTGCAACAAACAGAAATATTAATGTGCTCCCCAGATTTTCTACGATACTTATCATTCTGGTTTCTGAGCGTTTCAGACATTCATGAATTCATTTGCACAAGATTCTGCAATGTGAAGGAGTTTATTAAGATTAAATAGACCCATTACTTTCAGATGCCCAATTTGGGACAAACAGTCCCTGATTTTTCTCTTGCAAGCTTATTACGGGGATGGCTTGTATGTTCAGAGAAGGATTCCCACTGGCTTAAGTTGCACTGTGACTGCTCAGCCTTAAGCAATTTGAGCAGTAGGGTCTCTAGCCAGATGCCAGGAAATAAAAACACATTAGAAATCACCAGTGAACTATCTGGCATACATGACTTCCTCACTATCAAATGGGAACACTATAGCAGAGGCGAAAATAACATGTGGTTCTCCAGGGCAGCATTCCTTTACTTATTTCCTTCCCTTCCCACAACGACCTGCCTTCCCTTCTAACACCTTCCCAATTTTGTGACAAATGAAGGGTCCTACAGTCCACAGGATAAACTTAATTTCATGCCACAGCAGCTGCRTTCCAAATTTTCTGCATCTAGTGAGGAACAAAGGAATACCCTACAATAAAGGCTGCATGATGCTCATTTAGGGATCACATCAGTTAAAGCGATACAGGCAACCCTCTCTGTTGGCTCCTCTAGCTTTCGAGGCCTTATTTTGCAATCTTCATGTCCACTACTGTTATTTTCCGAGCGTTTAAGAAATAAACTGTCAAGAGCAGAATTCAGGTGTGTGTCACTGTATTAATCCCCACGTACCGCGTGGCGCTGGCTGCTTCTCCTTTCAGGCAATGCTTCGCTCGCTGTTGCACCCTAGAGCCTTCCACATGCTTGGTCATTTCAAACCCAGCCAACGAGGATACCGGCATTTCCAGAGCTTGCCTCTCACAAACAGGGGCTTTGAATTAATTCCAGGCAATTTATCAGAGAGGCAACACAGCAGGTGGCAAGTACAGTGCTGGATACCACTGATCAAAGAGCACCCAGTGGGCCCACAGGTGCCTGTATCTGAAGAACCCAGGCAGCTCTCCTAATAACATACATCGAGTGCTCCAGCTCCCTGTACAGGGCATCAATCATTTTTCCTGTTGGTTATCATTTTCTATCATGCCTCTCTGGTGCATTTTTAATTGGTTAATTACTTTATTCATACACTAAGCACACTCTCAAGCTCCAATTATTATCAGCATTAAGTGTTCAGCTCACCCTATACATCTTTTAAATGCCGTATTTGGTTGTTTCCTGGTCGGCACTTCCTTCTCATACAATACCATAGGGGTCCTGCATATGCCTTAGCTAGTCATTTGACAGACTATAGCCATCCTGCTCATTAGTCTATTATCTAGCTGCTTATCAGCCCCATTCCCAAGCCCCTCATTACTGTAGCCGCAATTACAATAGCTAACACTCCTACTTCCAGGTCTGCATAGTACCACTTCATTTATAGTAGGCCACTGCCATTCAAGTTAACAGCTCCCAACAGGAATAGTAGGTTGACTTTCCTATATAAGCCAACACCTAGAGTGCATTAATGAACAGCAGAACTGCTTCATTTTGTTTGTTCACCCTTCACTATGGTACTGCGTTATCTCTTTTGTTAAAGCCCCCATCCAGGCTCCCAGGAAGGAAATCCAGCTCTTCCCTCCCACCCCATCCTTTCTGCTGCTGCTCTTTGGTTAGCCTGGAAGCTCTGCAGGGAAAGAAATTGCTCCCATCCAGGGTGGGAAGGTGCACCATTGCTCTGGAGATGCTTCCTGCGTCTGGAGAACAGGATGGGCTGGGCTGGAGTAGGGAACAAGCAGCAGGGACCCCAAAAGAGGAGGCTGCCAGAGCAGCACAAGTTGCCTTCACAGAAGCAGAGCCGCTGTTGGGTCTAGGTGGTGGCCCAGGGAACAGGCAACTCCAGAAACCAAGGGACTGGGAGCAGGTTTTTACTCCCAGAAGTCACTGGAAGTTTCTGGGGTGGAAAAGACTGAAGGAAGGTATTTACCTCAAGACAGCACCATGGACCAGGGTTTATTTGTTTTGGTATCTTCCACGCAACCTATTTCCAATAAGAAAGAGTGTGGCTGGGAATTGTCCTATTCCAGGGGAGAAGGTGGGAGTCTCACTAAACTCCTCTTTCATATCCCTATGAAAGAGGTAATAAATTCCTGCCAGGGTTTCTAACCTGGCTGGAATCCTTTGCTGTGCTTCAACCTGAATGCTATTTGGACTTGGCTAGAACAGGGAAATCAGGACAGGTCCCAGAAGCCCTATAGGACCTGCAGTACACAGTGCTGTTGTACCACTAGCTACAACCCCATTGCACGGTTATTCTCATCTAGCATCACGTGGCTAGGTCAGACCAGCTCCCAGGTCTTACTGCAGATGCCTTTTTGCTTCTGCAGAATTAGTTTCAGGGAGTTTATGGCTGCACAGGTGCTAAACCCAATGCAGGAGCCACGGCACAAACATGCCATCAAAGGCAGAGGAAAGCATGAACACTGGAATACTGACTCCAAAACACTGCTCTGAGACACAGGGCTTGCACAAACTACCCCTTGCCACTGCTCAGGGATTTGGTCTGCAAAAGAACTGACTCTCCAAGGGCTCTCCCCATTCCCRTGACTGCCGGCATCTCCCCGTGTTCCTGCAAGGCGGAGAAGGTACCAGGGTCCCATCCAGAGTCCCTTCCATGGTCCCTCCACCTCCCTGCATCCGCAGCTCCTGGTCTGAGGGACACATCATCCCCCTTTGCTTTGACTCCCTGCCCTTCCCTGCTGGCTGGGAGCTTGGGAAGCACGGCACGGAAATGTCCTGCTCCTCTCAAGCAGGATGAGGGCTGCTCACAAGCCAAGCCTGATGCTAGGAATAGGGTCAGCTAGAGAGCTGTAGGTCCTCTGTCCTTTCCCATGGCTCTGCTGATCCCAAGGCACAGCAGTACCCACCCAGCTGGGAAAGCAGGCTCATGCAGAGGGGCTATTTTATATATTTAAAGCACTGTCTTCTACCCCCGCACTATAATCCTGTGTGCAATATTAATCATCTAGCAAACGCTGTTGCCATGACACTCCTTAAAGCTATCAAAGCCAATGCAAGCACATCAGACCTGCAGCCCACCCATCCCACTCATTTTGTCGGGGTCCAGGAGCACCAGTACCAAGTGCTCATGGCACAGTGGGGACAGGAACCAACTGTCTCAGGGGTTGCCCCGCTAGCTGCATGGAACAAGGAAAGTCCACATTTGGATTTTGGGAAGTTGTGCCTAATTCTGAAAACCACATTCCAAGAACAGACCAAAGCCAAACATGCCCATTTTTAGGTCAAGCTGCAAAATTATTTTTTCCTTATCACAACATTGTCCTATCTTTAGAAGCTAAAAGGAATGATTAGTGTTATAATAGGAAAGAAGGAAAGAAATGGGGGAGGGGGGCACATAAACAAATGCAGAGCCTTAAAAAGACACAAAAGAGATCAAAAGAGGATGAGCTAAATGCTGAATAACCTAATATGTGCAGCATTTACATTCTTGAGCAGCTGACACTTAAGAAGCCCCACAAGCAGGTACAGAGCAGATCTGGGTCCTCCCCACTCCCACCCACTGGGCAGCCCAGACGCTAAAAGCAATTGTCTTACACCTCTGAAAATGGGAGGAGGTCAATCATGATTAACCCCAAGTGGGGACAGATACTGAAGAAATGATTTCTAGTTAAGGATTAGCACTGAAGTGTTTCCACCAGGATCAYCTATTCTTCCTGSGAAAGTCTTAGTGAGCACCCAGCTYATCCTGTACCTGAAGCACAGGGCCTGTGGYCAGCACAGATATAACCTCACATATCTAGACCTTGRTCAAGTGCTCACCAGCATCTGCTCAAGGCCCCCATGCAACACAGGAACTTCTCTGAAGCTGACTCTGGAAGGGGCTTTTGAGTCAAGAAGCAACAAGAGTAGGGCTGCTCCTAAGCATGGGCAGACCAGAAGAAGCAACAACAGAGACAGCATCCCCAGGAAAGGCACAGTCCTAGAAGAACAGGACAGGCCAACAACAAGGACAATCCAAACCCAACCAAAAATAACAACTCACCCTCCCAGAACAGCAGAGGTGAGAACAGAAATACTTACAAGAGAGCCAAGGCCAGGAGCAGGAGTCCACACCTGAGGTTAATGGAGCTGCTGGGCCCAGAGTGCATGAGTGAGACTTCCAGATGAGGCCAGTCAGGGAAATTACAACCCATTAGTGCCCTCAAGATCTGATGCTCTGACTGCATCAGCTGTGAAAATGGTGTTCTCTCCACAGCACCGTGCACAGCATGTGTATCTGTTGGCGAGGAGATCTGCCAGCAAATACCCTGCAGATGGGCAGCACTATGTGCCTGAGCATCCCTGCCCAGCACCGAGTCTTTGGGGAGGCACTGGCCCTGTGCCTGCTGTGTATGTTGACCTTCATGGGGCACCTGGACAGGCTGGAGGAGTGGACACCAGCATACACTGTAATGTCCTGCTGCAGCATGATGCAGTCAGTGCCAGGGCACCACTGCTAACTTGGCTGATACAGGAGTGCTGTGGGTGCATGAAGCTGCACGGGCAGTGCTGATGTCTCCAGCATGAGACCAGTCTGTACAGTGAGACCAGGTGGAGGTACAGGCAGGCACCTGCTGTCTAAGCTAAAACAGACATTAGATGATATTTCTGTGCTCACCATAAGCATCCCTTATCCCCTCACGAAGGTCTCTACCAGCTATCTTGGATGAGGAAACAGCACTGCTGAGGGAGCAAGAATGCCATAATTAACCCCAATCTCTCTAAGTTGTTGCCCTGACTTAGTTCCCACTACCCTACATACTTGATTGTTGTAGTGGAACATCTTAGCCCACTGCAACGTAATAGTGGGCCAACGCAAAAGCCAAAGGTYTATTCTCTGAGAAAACATGGGAGAGCTTGTCCCTTATGGGAATATCTTTCCCTTATTGCCTTCAAACTTTGCTTTAACTCCTCTGCCTGCATCCAAGTATGCACACATCGCTAGAGAAGGGAAGCAAGGAGCTGCAAAGCAAGGAGCTGCTTCATTTCCTATAGGAGATACGAGTGAATCTTTCACTTGTGCTTATGAAATTCCATTTATGACAATATTCACACCTACAAGCAGCTGGCGCCCTTCTACATATGCCAGAGGCTTTACTGGTGATGAGTTTCTGGCTAGAAGCATTACCGCTCACAACTGATATGTTAATGCAATTAGAGACGGTGCCAAGTGCAAAGCAGTATTTGTCCTGCTATTATTGGTGATAAAAGAGCCTCCTGTGTGAGAACCAAGTCCATTTCCAATCTATCTGTATCTATATCTAAAAAAGCTTTCATTTTCCTGAGCGCTGCAGCAGGCTCTCGTGATAAATGGCTGCCATATCTTAGCTCCCAACTACATTACATCCTATTCAAATCCCCTTCATTATAACAAGAAGCGGTATGACACCAAAAGCTTGTCTCCAGGATTTATGACACAGTGGAGACTCTTAGATCCGCTAAACCCCATTAAAACCATCTCCCTTATAAAACATACACCTTATTATGTACTTCGGCGGCGGGCAGCGGGTTGCCTTCTGCCAGGGCCCTTATTACCTGTGCAAGGGAGGTGCAAGGAGTTCGGACAAACAATCGGGTCCCTGCTGCACACGCAGGGCTGGTGCCGCGTCTGCACCTCCTGCCTGGCGCACATCAGGCGCTTCACTTGTGGGGAAGCCTTTGTGGAGGGATTTTTTTTTCTTTCTTTTTTTTTTTTTCAGTTCGCTTAGTAAACCGAGACAATACAAAATGCACTCTATTGGCTAAAGCCAGTTCTTTCTTTCTTTTTTTTCTTTTTTTTTTTTTTTTTCAGGTCTTTTTCTGACACAAAGCCTTGGAAAATGGATTTTGGGTCAAATGCAATGTTACATTAAATCCGGAATGAAACATTGCATTTTGTTGTGTTTTAAGCCATTTAATTAGAATACATTTACTCTCAAAAATCTCGTTAAAAAATGTAACCTGGCATTTCCACAATGGAGTAACAATGCATGCTGACTTTCAGATCCCTTCTTCTTTTGATCAAGACTGCTTACCAAGCATGGGATAAAAGCACGCATTGTTTCAGTATTAGTTCCAGCTCTTTCCTCAGAGAGGAAATTTTGTTCCCAACATTTTACGTGGACGTKTTTGTGGCACCTTCTCAAGCCGGGAAGATGTGAGAAGAGGGAAGAGCTGTGGCAGTGGTGACACAGCCCAGGAGATATCACTAGGACAGATGACTCTGTCGGGGAGAAGTAACAGGGCAGATGTGGCATCTCTCACACCTGAGAAACTGATCTTGCTTTTCTTCCAAGTCATGTTGATTCTCTTCTTCCACTTTTCATGTCTCACGTTTCATAGCAAGTGCTGGGCTATGACCTTCAGGAGTCCAGGCAGCAGCTCGTGTTGGACTGGAGTGCAGCTCATTAGACTAGGTAAATATGTTTGTGTTTTCCTCTTTTTACCCCTCATTTAGTCCCATCTCACCGTGTTGTTTATTCTACTGGATTATGCAAATCTAAATACAACCAAAATTAAATATGAAAAGGTAAAGCAAAGTCTGAATCCTCTCTTTTTGACCATGCCAAGGACGGGGGCTTTGACCCCCAGTGTGTCGGAGCTTGTGTCACCCCTATGCTGCGCCTGATGCTGTTTTGGAATTGTCCCACTCCTGTCTTGGGACTGGTCCAACCTCCTCCCAGCCTGGCAGCACCAACACCATCTCTACCAAGTAAGTTGAACAGTGCTCGGAATAGAGATGGATTAGGAAAGTTGCCACTCACAAGGCTAAGTCTACCTGAAGAAGGGCTATCTGCTCAGGAATCAGATTAAGTCTGCCTTGAGATGGGTGATTTTGTGCCAGAAGTACCTGGGAGGTGAGTAGGAAGGTGAAAATCCTAGTGAGAAAACGTACAGTGAGAATCAAGAGATCTGTTCAGATCACACAGACATTCACAGATTTGAAGAAGAATTTGATGCAGAGCTCTTGCGTGCACTGGAGTAATCTGTAAATAACTCAAGGTAACTCARGTGCAAATAGACATGTTCGTGTGGCCTTTAAAGTCATGTGGATCAAGATGAGCAAATGTTTCCATGACAGGATGTTGTGGATTATTGATACTAAGGCCAAAAAGGCTACTCTGTCCTCCTTCATCACCAAGGCCAGATAGTTTTGCCAAATGATTTCTGTGTCAAGTCCGTAATTTCTGGCTAAGCCAGTGCAGCTCTTCTAGAGAGACATCGAATTTCAAGCTAAAATTACAAGTGATGAAGAATCAACTTTCTCCTCCATTCATTGTTTAATGGCTAATTCCCTTCCCTGTTGGAATGTGTCTTCCTTTCAGGCTGAATTTGTCTGATTTCAGCTTCCAGCCTCTAGATCTTGTTACACCTTTGATTGCCAGATTAAAGAGCTCTCTGGTCTCAAATATCTTCTCTTCTGCTGGGGACTTCTAGCCTTATATGAAGCCACTATTTAAAGTCCTTTTCATTAAACCTCTCGTTATAAAACATATTTTTTCCTGAGTTTAGCTAACTTTGATACCTCTTTCTTGAAACCTCTCTGCATTTTCAGTAGCGTTTTGATGTTTGACCCTGGAACTGGACATTGAGCACACTGGTAGTCTTACTAAAGCCATGTGTAGTAGTAATGCACAGTCCCATATGAATGTGAAGACAGTGTGCCTTGCTCTTTGTCGTTCTCATCTGTAGGGAGTTCAAGTTCAGATGCCTTCCATCTGATCCCCCTATGCTTTTTTTTAATCCATTCTCTGTAGAGTCCCAATCTGTATGTGTGTCTTTGTTCCTAGATGCATGGATCTGCTTTTCATTGTACCAAAATTCAGACTGTTGGAATGGCTTCAGCCTTCCAAGTGATTCATATTGCCTTGGTGACATTTATCATCCTGCTGGGTTTTAGATCCTCTTTAATTGTTATCTGTAAAAATTGTACATTCTCTTCCAGAGTGCTGAAAAATATTGGGCTGTCCGCTCCTGTCAGCAAGACCTATCACTATTCTGATGCTATGCCCCAAAACCCACAGGGGTTGTCTCCATGGTTCCCCTGTGATGGTACATCCTGTACCTTGGGACTTACGGTCCACCCCTCATCAATACCAGTACTGCCAGAAGATGACACAGTTCATTTATGGAACAAAGGCTTGGATTGATGGGTTGATTGACTGGAAACCAATTTGTGGACAAAAGGGGATGGATATTTGTGTACAAATGCAGTATGCCATGGACTTGGGAGCTGCTTTCAGGGTCTGCAGGACAGATGTAGGCTTTTAATTACAATGCAGGCAAGCAAAAGGTAGAGGCTCTAAAAGGGGATGAAGGAGGCATACAAATAAGGAGCTCTGACAAGTTTGTCTGGAAGAGAAACAGCTCAATCTGAATTAGCTGTTCTTAAGTTAAATATAAATGCAAAGCTGAGGAAGGTGGCTGAGTGTGAAGTGCATGTACGTGTTGTAGTGACGGGAGGACGGGGACCGTAAGGACTGCCAGCCTCGCACAGGTTTAGGCATCTTTCTTGGCTGGCGTATCTCCAAGGGCTCCATCTGCAGCCAGCGGAGACGCATGTTCCCCCAGAGGCTGATTCAGAGGTGAAGATGTGGTGGGAAAACTGAGCAGTGGAGAATTAACCCYAGAGAGTCAATCTCTCTCCATTGACTAGAGAGGAAGGCTGAAAACCTAGGTGGTTTCTGGATGGGGCAATCTTCCTGTTTGTTAAGAGTTACATGTTGGTATTCCTCCAGTTGAATAAAGGATTATGGAAGAAGATTTATCTGGAAAGTTCCTCTTGAATTACTTCTGTTATTCCAGAGCATAGCAACCCCAGCAGAGCTTGCTGCAACTTAGGAGGTAATAGCAGAACAGGATGACCCAGTGAAACCTTGTGGTGGATGAAAGAAAAGATGGAGCCAGGCCATGCTCAGAGGTGCACAGCCAAATTACAACAGGAAAATCCAGAAACTACAGAGGAAATCCCAGCTGATCAAGTTCTCCCTATGAGGCAGATCAAGCACTAGACCAAGGCCCCAGAGAAGCAGCGGGATCTCTATCCTTGCAGATTTTCAAAATGCAACAGAGCAAGGCCACGAGCAACCTGATC